TAAGCTCAATTAGCAGAATCATGGAAGCAGTTATTCTCCATAGACTAAACATCTTCCTGGATGAGCAGAAGATCCTCATACCCTACCAGTTTGGGTTCAGGCATAAGCACTCGACAACACATCAACTCTACAGAGTTGTTGAGTTAATAAGCAGTGGGATGCAACAACATCGTGTCACTGGTGGACTTTTCTTAGATGTCGCCAAGGCCTTCGATAGAGTATGGCTGGTTGCCCTCATATACAAATTACACAACCTGGGACTCTCAGGCTACATCACAAACATAATTAAATCCTACCTGACCGGTAGACACTTTGTCGTTCATGTTTCTGGTTTATTATCCACAAACCGGCCTATCCGGGCTGGTGTTCCACAGGGATTCCTTCTGGGCTTACCCTATTCAATATTTACGTGAATGACATCCCCACTACACTAGCTATGTATGCAGATGACACAGTGATCCTTACTCAAAGTGCATTTGTTAGTTCAGCAATACAACAGCTACAACACCACACCCACTCGCTAGAGACTTGGCTGACCAAATGGAAAGTCAAAGTAAATGTCGACAAGACACATGCCATACTGTTTACTACTAAGAAGAATTTCCCGACTCACCTGCAAATGTATGGTGTGGACATTCTCTGGGTCAAGCAGGTCCCTTATCTTGGGGTGATCCTCAGTAAATCTCTTACATGGAACCCACACGTTACACATATTCTCAGGAAGTTTCGAGCTAGTAAAGCTTCACTCTTCCCCTTAATTGCTCGAAACAGTGTTCTATCTATTGATAATAAGTTGCTCATTTACAAAACCATGTTGCGTCCAATTCTTAGTTATGCATGCCCCGTCTGGGCATACTCGTGCAAAAGTTTGAGAAGGCAGTTACAAGCTGCCCAAAACGGGGTATTGCGTATGATATGTAATGCCCCCTGGTACATTCGGAATAGCCAAATTCGTAAAGAGTTAAGAATAGAGGATCTTTGTGATTTTTTATTGCCGCCTATCTAGGGCATTTTATGATAAACAGGAACTTCTGGACAATCCTGTGGTTGTTAACTATTGTTATGATACTAGGGACACCAATTTCAGTAAACGCCCAAGGGCGATCCTAAATGTTGGTAATATGTAATTTTGTATATGTGCTATGCAAATTGTTGCTGATTCTTTATTGTATATTGTTCTTTTTTCCTCCTGATTGCATTTTGTTTTTACTAGTGGCATTAAGGCGTTCCACTTCGTATTTTGTTTCTCTTGTGTGTACATGTATTCTTCTGTGAAATAGTTGTTAAAAAAAATAGTTAATTATGTACTTAAAGAAAAAAAATATGTATTTAACTATTAGCAAATATGAATTTAAACTCTTACTCATTTAATTATTTAGCACATTCAGTTATATTTCTCATAATTCGAAACTTTTATCATGTTATTCGATTAGGGGTAGGGCTATGGCGCCCAGGCACCTTTATGCACCGCAGTTCAATGTATGTAGTTTCAAAAATGAAAAATAATTTCATCTTAAAATAAAATATGACAGCAAAAAATAAAAATGAATTATTTTAGCTTTCTTTCACCATTACATGAAAAAATATAAAACAATTTTCAAAATAAATGTCTAGTATATATGGATTTCTTGCCTACACAGAAATTATGTTTTCTAAAATTTCTTTTTATGTGCATTGCACACTTGGGATGTCCAAGATTTGACTGAAAATATTCGAGACTTCATTTCCCATTTCCAACATTGCTGTGTAACCCTACAAATATTATGCGAATGTCATACACCTACACATTTGATACTGGAGCCGGATAGACATGATCTTTAGTACTTTTTTACAATGAGTGGAAATATCTAATAAAATTCTCATGAGAAGGATCAAAACTGACACTTCTGTCAGTAATGGCAGAGTTATAATTCATATTTGCATTAAATTTAGAAACAGCCAAGCTTAACAAAAAACATATAACTTACTGTATACCTATCGGATGAAACCTTTAATCACCTTTTAGAATTTCAACTTTTGAAGTTCTTATCCACATTTCCTTATGCAGCAGATATAAACACTAAACACTTATTATCGTGTAAAAATATCTTGAAAAATATATCATCTTGTGAAAACAAATAAATGGTTTATAATTTATTTTAATCAAATAAGAATTTATGTTTCTCCCATGGGATCACCAACAGGCTTTATGCTATTTGGAATTTCTTAAATTCTAAGAATTTTGCAGAACCTTAATTCTGTCAACCCATGAGAAAAATCCAGACTGGACCTCGCAAAACATTTTCGAGCTGCACGAAAAAATGCTTACTGCAAAGGTTAGTATAATTTTTTTAATATATGTTCAAAACACAGAATGTTTCTCTTCTGTATACATAAGAGACACATTTGTTCAACTTCTTTATCGGAATAAATCATTTGTTACATACATGACTCATACCATTTATTCCTTATGTTGACATCCATATTCAAATTCTTTTTATGCAAATAAATGAATATTTATGTAACACACACATACAAATTTTCTCTCCAGTGTAAATAAGCACATGCTTGTTAAACTACCCACTTGAATAAACATCTTACGTACTTCACACATAAAAGGTTTCTTTCCTGTGTGAATGAACATATGCTTGTTTAAATGACTTTTTTGGTTGAATGGATTTCACTCATACTTTGCACATACAAGTTTTCTCTCCTGTGTGAATATGCATGTTTAAATGAGCTTTGTGATTAAATTATTTTTTACATACTTCACATATGTGGTTTCTCTCCTGTGTGAATACGCATATTCTTGTTTAAAGTACCCTTTACACTAAATGTCTTCTTATACTTCACATATATGAGATTTCTCTACTGTGTGAATGCGCATATGACTGTTTAAATAAGATTTTTGATTAAATGATTTCTTACATGCTTCACACATATGAGGTTTCTCTCCTGTGTGAATAAGCATATGGATATTTAAATGACCTTTACGACTAAATGATTTCTTACATACAGCACACATATAAGGTTTCTCTCCTGTGTGAATACGCATATGTGTATTTAAATCAGTTTTTCGACTAAAAGATTTCTTGCATACTTCACACATATAAGGTTTCTCTCCTGTGTGTTTAAGCATATGCTTGTTTAAACTACCCGTTTCACTAAATGCCATCTTACATACTTCACATATATGAGGTTTCTCTCCTGTGTGAATACGCATATGCTTATTTAAACTACCCTTTACACTAAATGTCTGCTTGCATACTTCACACACATATGAGGTTTCTCTCCTGTGTGAATAAGCATATGCTGGTTTAAATTAGCTTTGCGATTAAATGATTTCTTACATGCTTCACAAATGTAAGGTTTATCTCCTAGGTGGATAAGCATATGCCTCTTTAAATGACCTTTTCGATTGAATGATTTCTTACATATTTCACACATATGAGGTTTCTCACCTGTGCCAATAAGCATATGTTTATTTAAATCCGCTTTTCGACTAAATGTTTTCTTGCATACCTCACACATATACAGTTTCTCTCCTGTATGAATAGGCATATGTGTATTTAAATCAGCTTTTCGATTAAAAGACTTTTTGCATACTTCACACACATAAGGTTTCTCTCCTGTGTGAATAAACATATGCTTGTTTAAATTATTCTTTTCACTAATCCATTCTTTGCACATATGAGGTTTCTTTCCTGTGTGAGTACGCATATGCTTGTTTAAAGTACCCTTTTCACTAAATGTCTTCTTACATACTTCACATAGATAAGGTTTCTCTCCAATGTGGATGTGCATATGGCTGTTTAAATGAGCTTTTTGATCAAATGATTTGTTACATACTTCACACATGATGTTTCATTCCTGTGTGAATAAGCATATGTTTAGTTAAACCACCCTTTTCGGTAAACATCTTCTGGCATACTTCACACATATAAGCTTTCTCTCCTGTGTGCATATGCATGTTTAAATAATTTTTTGCATACTTCACAGACATGAGGTTTTTCTCCTGTGTGAAAATGCATATGCATCTTTAAATGAGCTTTTCGATTAAATGATTTTGAATGATGACATTCCTCATACACATGGATTGCATATACCTAGACATGAAGGTTCTTTTCTATACTAAGAACTATAAGCTTGTTACATGCACCAGAATAATATTTATGTGCTGTATGGAAGTAAAATATAGTGAATAACTGAATTTCTCCCAAATCTAGTTCTGTATAATATTGCACAATTATTTTCAGTGGCTTGCGTAAATACACATGCAATTATTTTGCTCAAAATATTAGTACATATCGTGCATAAGACTTATCGAACGTATTGCATAAGCCTGGCTTGATTTCCAAGACCTCTCTAAAATCAATCTATTTCATTACACAGAAATGCGATTTCTTATTCAAGAATATTTACGTAATTAGATGTTTATTTACGCAATATGCGTAACAACTTACATAAACAGTGCTGACATATTTTCTTAAACTGTTATGTTTGTTTTAATTGCTAATATTCTGTTACAGTTCAGAAATTCATATTCACCATAGCAACTGTTTGAAATTAAAATTACGATAATGATATTTTCGTTTGGTTAAATTTTAAAAACTATTTTTTAAATAAGATTTAATTTATTGTTTTTAATATTGCTGTTAGATAAAATTATTTACATTTAAATATTTTTAGAATTCTTAATACGTTTGTACTCCTACACTGTGTTTAATAAATCACCAAAAGTATGCACCATTGCTCCTTCAATTTGTAATATTGAGATGAAATGAAATGAAGAAATCGGAAGTTTCTGCTCTGTACTGTTTACGTTAGTCATCCAGACAGAAAGAGTTCCACCAAAAAATACCACTACTGTATCTTGTGTGAGTCAGTATCATGTGCTGGTTTGTATAGGAATTGCTAGTTCATATGACTCAACAGGAGCATTCTTAACAGTGTGTATCCTTGGCAGAAGTGATTTTGAAATTCGTAGCAGAAGATCAGAACGACCTATAAATTAAGTAGTCACACCTCTAAGCTAGCTCTTGTTTTTGCAACCTTATCATGTTTTCATCATTTTAACCTTATCTGTTCCACATAACGACAATTTATTGCTTTCATAGCTAATATTTATTATCTTCAATTTGCTTCTTCGTCTGCGAAAGATTGTATAAATACAGCCATTTTAAGCGAGTATCTTGCGTTTCTCAAAATGGAGCTGCGTTATATAAAATTGCTTTCAGCATTCTGCTTGCTTATTGTTACTTTTGCATCTTCAATGGTACCATTATATTTAATTAAAAAATATCGTTCTGATCAGAATCGTGAAAATAGGTCTCAAAACTTTAGAGTGATAAGTTTTCTTAGTTGCTTTGGTGGAGGAGTGTTTCTAGGGACGTGTTTGTTACATCTCTTTCCTGATGTTCGTGAACAAATTGACCTTGTGTTCAAAACAATGAAGTTCAGTCCGAATTATCCTGTTGCCGAATTCCTTTTCGGTTTTGGATTCTTAACTGTTTTGATTGTTGAACAGGCAAGTATTATTTTTAATATATGCATTTATTTCATGAAATAATTTGCATGCGTTAAACATATATAGCTATTATTGAATTAAATATTTATGTATGTTATAAGTATGGCTTATCAGAAATGAATGTGTTGTTTCCATGGGAAAAATAGACTTGCTGAGGTAAAAAGATAATATATTTGCATATGTATCAGTTAAAATGGAACTTTACAAAAAGTATGATTCAAGAATCTCTTGAATTAAAATATTGATGAATAATTATTTTGATGAAAAAAAAAAAAAAAAAAAAAATTCAGAAATTCTTATTAAATAGTGAATCTTACAAGGTGAGGGAAACAGCAATGAAAAACAAGACACGATAATGAAATTTTCATTGTGATATACTTACACTGCTACCAAGACTTTTATCTCATAATTTCTTCTTAAGAAAGTAGGACTTAAGGAAATGTTTCCTTCAAACTGCATAGAACATTCCTGTAAAGGTTGGTACCTTTATAGGAATGTTCTATGCAGTTTAAAGGAAACATTTCAATAAGTCCTACTTTCTTAAGAAACATTAAATTTTATTTATACATTAAATTTCATTCAATCATTCGAACATTAAATTTTATTTATGATAATTGATAAATATATGCATGTAATAAGTTGGAAATAAAAGTGAAGTAGCAACCTGTGCTAGGCATGAAAATCTATTCCCAACCACAGGTTATTGCTCTTATGATTTATTTGAGCCGTGTCTCTCTGCTGTCTTTAAGTTGGAAATATTTATTCTTTGATGTGATGTTTTAGTACATTTCAAAAAGGAAATTAATAGTTTGTTCTTTAGGAATTTTATATTAAAATTTTAATATATCCCAAAAGAGGAGGCAGACTTTTTTTTTTTTTTTTTTTAAATTTGTGAAATCTTTTCATTACATCGTATTTTTAAATCTATTATATTTTCATTACATCTATTATATCTTTTCATTGCATTCATCTATAAACAAAAACTGCCCCTCTTAAAAAAATTGTATGCACAGTGAATGCAATCTTTTTGTTACTGAAAGTATTTTACTCACCATAGTGTGAGATAAAATTTTATCAGTCTATAGTTTTTGTCTCAGTCTATCAGTGAACTATATTTTTTTATCTTTCTTCTTAGTAATATAACTGTTCTGTGGTAAAAATATATTTAAGGGTGCCCCTTGGTGAAAATTGGCCAGGAAGACAGTTTCAAGATGGCCGCTACACATTGGCCAGGAAGACACAGTTTCAAGATGGCCGCTATGCATAATCATAATAACAACTCAAAGAACTCCACAAACTTGGTGTCCATGTACACATCGATTGATTTTCACTTAAAAAAAATCGTAGGATTGCACAAACTCGGCTTTGCTTATTCCTTTGACTTTGTCCATGTATACAGCGATCTGTTTGTACTTAAAAAAAAAAATCAGGAGAATGCAGACGTCGTATAATGTTAAAACAAAGTTACTCATCACTAAAATTGAACAAAATTGTAGCCAATCAAAAAATTGCATTTAAAATCATGCAATGAAATAACATAAAAAAGGAAATGCATGTTATAGCATATACGCACTAAAAAATTGGGAAATATTGACTTAATTGTATGTAGAAATTTCTGGGGCACACAAAATTCCTTAACAGCATCCGAAAACTTTCTAAAATTATCTGAACTAGAATGTGCATACTGTCATCACCACATAAATTTATATATTTTTATGAGTAAAAAATATCCTCCTTAGTGCCGGACTGTTGGTGGCATTTCTCGCATGAACCTTTCTTGTGACAAACCCATTCAAAGCCATCTGAATGATCTTTGTGTTCGACCATATGCATTTCCTTCGTACCAACAGGCCATTTATAATGACTTCATTTGCATACCAGTCAATTAATGCTTTCTTCCCTTTTCGTTCCAAATCATACAGAAACTTCAGATTAATCTCGTCACATACAACCATTTTATAGTATACAGCACAAAATCCAACACAGATACAAATATTTTCCAACGCAGATACAAATATTTTCCCATCAGTTAAATTCACAGCAATCATGTCATAATAGGGTTTCCATAACATTCAACTAATCAGGTTACCATGAATAATCACCAAAGAAACAACAATTTGGTGATAAAAGAAACAACTTGGTGATAATGCAAGGAGAACACTAAAATATAGACCAACCCTGTTGTGTTATTTCCGTCTTTAGAAATGTAATTGTTCTTCCTAAGTAGTGTAATTTAGTAATCATTGCATAGTGTAAGCAGTGCATACATCGTATTTATAGCATACATATCGTATTTTCTGGCATATAACGACATAATTCACGAATTCGTCACGAAGAAGCCTAAAAGATACATGTGCAATGCTCTTACGTTTTGTGGTCGCTTATTCGAACATTTATCCTAGCATTTCGAACAATGGTAAACGTTACTGACAAGTGATAAGGGGAACAATATGTGTATGGATTAAATTCTTGAGGTAGTAGATATTCCGGAAAAGACGGTGAATTGTATTCAATGCATGTGTCCAAAGGAATGCTATTGCAGAGCATTTCCAACCTGAATGAATTTATGTAATTAGGCTTTAGATGTTTTATCTTTCTGTAGTCATTGGAGCCGAGATTTTGAAGTGAAAATCAAAGGCTTTAATGAATCGCATTTCCTTTAGTTGAAATACAGTTGATCTAGTGCTTCTTTTAGTAGTAAACATGGCTTCTGTGAAAAGAAACAAACTCAGTGCAAATTTAAAATTTCAAATGCAAAGCCATTCATTTTGCGAGAGAAATTGAAATCATGCTGGAGCAAGATTTGGTGTTGGTGAAAGATGGAATGGATAATGATTATTTACGTATGGATCAAAATAACAATAGTGAGGGAGATGAAACAAAATTTGATGATATGCCTGAAGATATAACGGAAGACCATGACGGAACTGTTCATGGGCTAAACTGCAGATTATGGTCCACTCCCCAAATGAAGCAATATCGCATCAAATCTGGTAACCTCTTGGCATCATGAAAATTGTTAGGGTTTAAGGTTACAGTTTATAGTATTTAAGCAGGCTTTTTGAATTTTCGTCATTTCACTGTGCTTTTCATAGTTTGTGTGAGCAAAATGGCTGACGCCGAAAGAGTTGAACGTGTGGATTTTACTTATTTAATTCGGTTGCAAGATAAGGGCAAAAGGCGTGTGATAGAATGGTGCATGGATTATGGCTTGATTGCAAATATGTACTAAATGTAAAAATAGTATGAAATTAGTTGAAAGGAAAGATGCGACATATTTGTGTGAATGGAGGTGTCATGTGTCTGGTCCTTACAAGCACGATGTCAAAAGGAATGTGAGAAAGCGCTCTTGGTTTTCCGAGGAATGAATACCTGATTAAGATCATCCTTTTCATTATCTAGGTGTTACAGTTTATGTAGCTGGCCACGAGAGGGCACAGCTTTTTTACTTTTAGCTTGTTATATTTTTCTTACCGCATTGCGGATTTTGACATAGATGTAGTGGCAACCAGAGAAACATGATGAACGTTCTTCTGTAATTGTTGTACATTGTAATACAGTTGTTGTACATAGCTGTAAATAAAGCTTCTGTGTGATAAAATGAAAAGGAATTCCAAGTGTTCCTGTGGATATTCATCAAGAAAGGTAAGCAAAATTTCACTTATGAAATGTTGTTAAATGTAAAAAATAAGAATAAGAAAATACAAATAAGAAAAAAGATCATAAATTGCAACACGGTGCCGAAATTCCGAGATAACAGTTATCTTTAGATATACAGTCAAAAGTTGTTAATCCGGACTCTTCGGGACTTCGGCAATTCCGGATTATCGATTTTTCCGGATTATAGATCATCAGTTTAATATGGTAAGATGGCATGCAGAAATTATAAAATTAAAAATATGAAACCATATATTTATGAAATAAAGAACAATTATGATCTAAAGGGTATCAAAATTTACAAAAAAAAAAAAAAAAAAAAAAAAAAAGCTTAATATTTATTTGTTTACTTTATTAAATATTTCTTTCAATGGAAGTTGTTTAAGTTGCTTCGTTTTATGTGATAATACTTTCTCTTTAATTCTATAAACAGCCATAATTTCTTGTTCAGTTACAAAGTTCCGCTGTTGAAGTCCTATAATTGCTGTGTCGAGAATGCCGACTAATTTGTTAATCGAAATTTTTTCATTTTCAGTAACCTCTGTGTCGCTTTCTTCACTATCGGAAGCGAATTATAATGATGAGGAATTTGATTTAAATCATATCAGAGTACATCAAGATGAAATACTACATCTAGTAAGGAATTATAAGCCAAATAAAATAAAAAACATTTGCCCTAAAGATAAGGATAGTGCTGACAGATCAACTTCCAAATCATTGCGCGCCGCAGCCCCCCCCCATCACAGAGCAGCGTGAAATTGATAAACAGATTTCGGAATGGTTAGAGAAACAAAGGATATGCCTTTATCCAGTTTTTGCAGCAATTCCACTTTTTGTTTGATGGACATCGAAACATGCTTTCGCTTTGCAGATCCTTTGGGAGCTCCAGCATCGGAAATTCTATTTGACATAATCGAAAGTTCAAGCTTACTTTTTTAAAATTATTTTTTTAAATTTTTACACAGCCGTAAAGGTCTTACGCGCATGCGTAAATGCAGACAGTTACAAACTTGTGCAGAAAGCTACAAACTGTTTGCACATGCGTCAATGTGACACATGCGCAGAAAGTTTGTAGCTTTGAGGTCCGGATTATGGGTGTCCAAATTAACGACTTTTGACTGTATTATGATTTAAGTATTTATTATTGTTCGATTAGTGATTGAATTCTGATTATTAAGATGGATAAGTTAAAAGCACTAAAAAAGAAGTGAGGAATGTTAAGAGCATCAGTAACAAGACTGATAGCCAAAATGGAAAAGGAAATAGAATCAGATAATATTAAATTTGATTTATTAGAAGATGATTTATCCATCTTAAATGGAAATGAAAATGATATACTAATA